GAATATTCCTGGTACTCATTTCTGTTAGAGGCCGAGTCGATCCCAAGGTGCTAGTGTGGCTGGAAGGATTAAACCAATTGAAAAAAATCCAGTGACCTCATCGGGATTCAATCCTGCGACCTTCTGGCTTGTTGCATAGCGCCTCAACCAACTACTCTACCATGTGCCCCCTCTAATGAATATACACTTTTTAATTAGTCTTAAAACCAATATATAATATATATAGTTTAGATTTAATATTAAAGGCTCTAGCCTTAGAAACAAAACTAAAATTTAAAATTAATTGCTCAAAATGTAAATTTTACTTTGACTTTTAAGAATCGGTTTTAAATAAGCCAGAAACTTCTAGAAGCACCCAGTTGATATCATGGTAATAAGAAAACAAAAGTGTAAGTAATTTTCAGCAGTAGTAATTCTTTGTATATGTAGCCTCTGGTACCCACTTCGTGCAACTCTTATGTTATTGTCTCATGATGGTGTTTTGTTACATTTTCTAGGCCATTAAGAAATGTCTGGATGCTTTGAAACCTGATGCTGTTAATATCATGGTGTTCTCTAAAAATTCAGAAAAGAAATTTGATAAAATAGAATCATGGTTTAAGACAGAATATTCTGTATGTGGTAAGTTGTAGTGACATGTACTGGGCCTTGATTATTTTACAGTAATAAATGCATTTAATGAAAAATTACAGAATTGTGGAAAGGTATGATGTAACTCATGTTTAAATATAAATTGAGGGTCATGGAAATGATTATAACCATCTTAGATTTTTCTTAGATGTTGTGAAACAAATTCCAGGATAGTAGTTTCAGATTGGCCATTACTAATTCAGTATTGACTTCCAGCTTACAGTTAATAATTATATTGCCATTTCTGATTTACACTATATAATCTTTGTAGTTGACATACAATTGTTGAATTAAGTAATTATAACCTTAGAATATACATATATTTACAAAATATTATATCAGATGAGCTATCATATTTCTCTGTCTTCATGAAAGAAACAGAAAAGAAGTGGAATCACTGTGAAGCTTCCTGATTAAGTCAGCATTTCAATTCATCTATTACAGATATTCCTAATGATTGGCTGGAGTCTTGGTTCAGCATGGAACCTGATCAGAGTTTCAGTTTGCCTGAACCTAACATTTTCCTGACAACAGACTTCAGTCTCTTACCAAATCCTGACCAAGAAGATGCTCAGAAGAAGAAGTATCCAATTAAAGTGCAAGATGATGAATTGTCTGAAGTATGGTACCACCGTGACTGCAAGTTTAAGCTACCACAAGCATTCCTCTATTTCTACTTGATATCACCTCTTCCACTCAGCTCCCCACAAAAGTAAGGTTCTTGTTCTATTTGTGGCCTTTGTTTTTATTTCAATAACAGTATCTTACTAAAAAACAACACTATGACAAAATGCTATACACAGTAGAAACTAAGTTTAAAGGATTCTGGGAATTTAATGTCAATTTTAATCATGTGTAAGTTATATACATGCACACATGCACAGGCTTATAAAGAGAGAAGCTAGCAGGGCCATTTGGCTCAGGCCTCTGGCCTAGTGGGTCTCCAAGTATACTATATTTAATTTAAAAAATTATAGTAAGCAAGCAAGAGCATGGAAAATCTGTTTAATTGAATTGTTGACTCATTATTCATGGCTTTTGTTGATATTCATTTGCTTGAAAATCTGATTTTTTAAAATATATATTAAATCATAATCACCATAATTGGCAAAATAGCCGTTTTTGAACCATAGTCTTCCTTAGATGATTCTGCCAGATTTGTCATCCAGTTTTCACTTCTTTGAATGTATTTATTAAATATATTATGGCATATTTGCTCAAAGCAAGAACTGTGGAGCCAGAGAGATGGCAGTTTGCTAGCAAGTGGCTCTGAAACATTTCTTGCTAGGCAGTGGCTGTGAAATGAACAATGGAACAATGTCCGTTGCTGGACAGCACATCCTTAATTAGAAACAGGTGAACAGCAACAGAGGAACAGTGTTTTCTGTGTGGTCCATGCCAAGGTGTTGTAATTGGGACAGTTTGGGACAGCAAGTTCAGTGCTCAGTAGAAAGTTGGGCTGTGAGGAGGAGATTGGGAGGTTAGTGTGAAATGGCTGCCAGCCTTGGAGCTAGTCAGCTGAAATTTAGACTGTGAAGAGAAGATTTTATGTGTGCTGTAGTTACAGTGATACTTGGAGTGTGTAATTCAGTGAGACTGTTATAAGTTACTGTGTTAAAATCCATTTCCAGGAAATGACTAGTTAACACAGAAGACTTTATATGTTATGTAGTTACATTGATATTTGGGGTGTGTAATTCCATGAGACTGTCATAATTACTTGTAGTTATGATTGGGAAGTGGTCAGTAAATCCATTATCCAATCCAAAACCCGGTTGAGAGTCGCTCATGGAGGGGATTGTATTCATATATTTATATGGCTTTCAGAGAGAGATGGGGCCCCACATTTGTAATTGGCCCAGACCCTGTGTGTGTTTGCGTACACATGTGCACATATACACCCCTCCCACACCACTGCTTTCACTTGTTTACTTGCCCTTCCC